TCTATTTAATTTTTTTTTTTTTTAATCCGATATCATAGTCGCTTGCCAGTGAGTTCAGTGACACATTTTAAGCACTCCAGAGCTGCTCTAGAGCGCCCCGGGCTGTTTATAGGCGTTTCAGTGTATCAGAGTTTTACGCAACCGAACTTTTTTTTTTCGGGATAAAAAATAGCATACAGGGTGTATATTTTAAGTGATACCACTATTACTATATCCGAAACGGTAAGAGCTACAAGGTCGATTAAATTAGAGAAAAGTTGCCTTTTTTGATGCCCATTCAAAACTTGTTTACAGTGTTGTCAAATTCCTTTTAGTTTATGAAATACAGGGTGATTTCTTAAAAACGCCAAAAACTATTTCATCAACTATTTCAAAAACTATTGATATTCGAGACACAATTTAAATTTGAAAGTTTTTTAATTTTTCTCGCTCTACAACATGGTGTCATCAAATTTCAAATCCGATGTTTCGTAATCGAGCTACCATTATCAACTTCATTTTTTTAAATATGGACCTGGATTTTTTATGTCATTTTTAGAAAGTGCCTTTTATTCCCTTTGTAAAAATGATATAAAAAGACCAGGTCCGTATTAAAAAAAATTAAGTTGATGATGGAAGCTCGATCACGAAACGTCGGGTTTAAAATTTGAAGATGCCATCTTGTAGAGCGAAAAAAATTATAAAACTTTCAAATTTAAATTATGTCTCGAATATCAATAGTTTTTGAAATAGTTGATGAAATAGTTTTTGGCGTTTTTAAGAAATCACCCTGTATTTCATAAACTAAAAGGAATTTGACAACACTGTAAACAAGTTTTGAATGGGCATCAAAAAAGGCAACTTTTCTCTAATTTAACCGACCTTGTAGCTCTTACCGTTTCGGATATAGCAATAGTGGTATCACTTAAAATATACAGCCTGTATATCACTCTCCTCTATAGCCGATTCGATTGACCCGATTAGATCGATCTGGTTCAATTTAAGTGAACCACACTGTGTTCGATTCAAGCTGGATCAGTGCACCCTCATCAACAAAAAAATGATCTAGATCAGAAGAAGTTCACTTAAATTGAACCCAAATCGATCTAATCTGGGTCAATCGAATTCACCTTATATAGAGATACGTGGTATTAATTCAGGATCGGTCCAGCCATTCTTGAATTCTAAAAATAATAAAGTTACGTCGGTTGAATGCAAGCCTAAATAAATGAAATATGGCAACGTTGTTTCATGCTGTCAAAAAAAGTTGGGTTATGTTGTTATGTAATGTGAATGAGTTTGTTTATAATTAAATTAATAATCAATTCAAAATTAATTTCTTTTTCCAAGATGCGTAACCTATCCACAAACCTTCCTTGGGATGGCCATAACAACCTACCAAAGTTTCATCATAATCGGATAAGTGGTTTTGGAGCCCATATCCGGATACCCCGTGAACTTTGATTTTTATATATATATATAGATAACCCTGTACACCATAATATGACAGCTTTATCAAAAATAGATTGAGATCAATTTCTTTCAAAAGCTTTTTGGAAATCTATATAAATTGTATCGACTACATATCCCTGTTCAAGAGCATTATAATAGTATGTCGACCTCACACACCTCTTATGAGATTTGGGACTTCCGCCAAATTTAAGCTAATTCTAGTATGATATAAATTTGACCTTTCTGATCAATACTTAGTATTGGCCCAACTTGATCCTATGACTAGTTTTTGAGATACAGGTAGCTTAATGTCCAAGAAATGTACACATTTTATATGCATTTACATCTACCTGTCACCTAATAATATACCAGAATAGACAGGAAGCTACCTGTATCTCAAAAATTAGTTATAGGACCAAGTTGGGCAAATGCTAAGTATTGATCAGAAAGGTCAAATTTATATCATACTAGAATTTGGTTAAATTTGGTGGAAGTCCCAGATCCCATAAGAGGTGTGCGGGGTCCTTTGTTGTTATTGAACTCTCAATTATAAAACCATGTTGTTACCAGATTTGAAACATTAACACAAATACTGACTACATTTAAAAACTTTAGGAAAATGAGACATTATGGTAACTGATCTATAAATGTCAACATCGTTTGTGGAACCATTATTCTCAAAAATTGGTGTAACAAATGAGATTTCCCATACATCTGGAATTACTGCTGACTCGGTTTGTTATACAGTGTCATTACTTAAGTGTGCAACATATAGGATTTTTTTTTGGTAATAGCACAATCAAAATACAAACAAGGCCAAAAGTTGGTGCATGTCTGATAATTATATCAGGTGCACTTAAATGGTTGCAAGTCAAACAGCATACAGATTCCATAAAAAATTAGAAATCTAAGTTAATTTTACAAATATGCTTGAATTTGAACAAAGTTATGTAAAATTGATTTGATTTTAATTAATTTTTGAAAGTCTTAAGGGCGGAAATAAAAAATAAAAAAAATATAGAAATTATAGATTTTTTGCGAAAGAAAATAAAAAAAAATCTTAGGAGGCTATATTTTGGTATTTAGGCATAACTTTTAATTCCAAACGACTTTTCTCTATAACATTTTGCTGAATTTTCTAAAATAAGGGTACTTTACAGTACCAGCTTTGATATTGTTTGAGCTACCCTGTATGCTGTTTGACTTGCAACCATTCTAAGTGCTCCTAATATGATTATCAGACATGCACCAACTTTTGGCCTTGTTTGTATTTGGGTTGTGCTATTACTAAAAAAAAATCCCTATATGTTGCACACTTGAAAAATCACACTGTACAGGGTGGCCCATTTTCGATGTTTTAATGGGCTATATCAAAAACCAGCAGAGATATCAAAAATCTGGGAACACATTCTCAACCTCTTTTTTTGAGAGAATAACAGTGGCGAAGACAAATCACGGCTAACTTGATGCGTTTAGGAAATACAGGGCACTTTTTAAATTTTGTCCAATTTTAAAAGACTCTCTAATTTCCTTATTATTCAAGATATCCATAAACGAAAAATATTTTTTGCAAGTAGAATCCAGTGGCATGACCAATTTTTTTTCAGATACCACCGATTTTGGAATATTGACCAAAGTTGTGATTTTTCAAATGGGACACTGGGTATATTATTTTTTCATTGAATATCTCTTTGTAAGCCAATTTAAATGATATGAGATTTTATACCTTTACATTCAATAGTTTTGGATAAAAAAAAATAAATTCTGTTTTTTCCATAAGAAATAATGAGTTAGGCCGGGATTATGTCGGAGCTGTGATAAACGATAAAAGCAACGATACTAATGTAAAGTATCATTATCATTACTATCGTTGCTTTTATCGTCTATCACAGCTCCAACATAATCACGGCCTAAAGAAAGAGATAGTTGAACTATGAATCGGCTACAAATTTTTCAATTCCTTATTTAATTTTCCAGTACAGCCAATTTTTTTTAAATTTGAACTATGAATCGGGAGTGAGAAATAGGCAACACATAATTTATTAAATGACTTATCTCTCTCTAGCTCATTGTTTCTTATGGAAAAACGGAATTTATTTTTTTTCTCCAAAAAATAATATACAGGGTGTCCCATTTAAAAAACTACAACTTTGGTCAATATTCCAAAATCGGAGGCATCTGGAAAAAAATTGGTCATGCCACTGGATTCTACTTGAAGAATTGCCTATAGAAAGTATTTTTCGTTTTTGGATATCTTGATTAATAAAGAAATTAGAAGGTCGTCTTAAATTGTGCAAAATTTGAAAAGTGCCCTGTATTTTTGTGATTTGTCTTCGCTATTGTTATTTTCTCAAAAAAAGAGCTCGAGAATGTGCTCCCAGATTTTTGATATTTTTACTGGTTTTTGATATAGCCTATTAAAACATTGAAAATGGGCCACCCTGTACATATAAAAGCCATAACGGTCTTGACAGAAGTGTGAAATATTGATTTTTTAATAGAGATGAGGTTGATCACTTAAAAAAAAATTTCATTTTTAACTTTGGCAAACTCAAAATTTGCTTGGGAAAAAGTGAAAAATATAAAATATTTCCAACTCTTCTAGAGCAGGAAAATTTTTTTTAAAAAAATCTATTACCGGTGCTCCATAGTTAACATTTTTGGAGTTGAGATGGAGCTAAAGCGGTTTAAGAATCTCATATTTCATCTTTGCAGAGCTAAAATTCATTCGTGAAATTGTGAAAATCTCATGTTCGTTTCCTTTCCCAGATAAGAAATATTCTATGAATATTTTTATGCATATTCTATTTTGAACTTTGGAATAATTGAATATCCTTCAGATAATATATACATTTTTTTGGTAGGAATGGAATATTTCTAGAATAATTGGAAGTTCTCAGAATTCCTTAAATATTTTTGAAATTATTATTATGATTATTCCAGAATATATTGGAATAATCAAGAATTAATAATTTTGTTCGATATTTTTGAGAAAATTTATAAAATATTGGATATTATTGCTAATAATTTTAAAATGTTAGAATATTCTGAGAACATTCGCTCCTATCTGGGCTACATTTCTTGTAGTTGTAAAAATAACAAAGGGATTATTGAAACGAATTACCTCTATTCTCTTACCATGCAATTAAGTCATGAAGAAAATCTATAGCAAAGGGAAACTACTGTATACGTGCTGAGATTTCCACGTTGTGAAGTTTGAGCAAACCAACCAGTAGGGATGTGGGATGTCCTCAGGTTCGTTGGGTTAAGCTTCTTTTACTGGTTTCAAAATTTTGTAACGGTATTCTGGTTAAGTCCGTGATCTCGTTTGAAAGTTCACCGTGCATTTCTTACTTTATTTAATTATTCTTATATAATTCTATTTGTCAAAAATACAAAAATAAATGAAGCAATGTTAATCAATAAATAAGTAACAGACATTTTCTTAAGACTTTGCAACACTGTTTCTAGTTTAACAGATAAATGTTTGTCACTTGCTAACCAAAACCAAAAAACAAGCAGTTGGCAACATTTTTAAAAATATCTCAATATTCGTATTTTTTCTACAGGCAACAGAAGCAAGAAGCAGCCCTCGTCACTCGATCGCCAGCAACAACAGCTCGAATCTCTCGACGCCTCCCTCGCCTCAAGCCGATCACCATCACAGTTCTAGTTATGACAGTTAAAACGCGTTTTTTTTCTCAATTTTTTTTTTGTGTGCAAATGTAATCATCATTTGGCAGCCAATGTGGTTATTCTATAACGCATGTTTGTTTGTAGGCATAGCTAGAGTGTCCTTGTTTTTTATGCTTTAGCTATAACTACTCACAATTTGATTTTAAACGAAAAAAAAAAGATAATAAGATATTATATGAGAATTATCTTTAGACTTTAAGGCATGGCACTGTACTTATTTTTATTAATTGTTTTGTTTTGTATATTTTTGTATTATTTTTTTTTTTTTTAAATGCATCCTAGTTTTTTTAGTCTTATTGTTAGTGTAAAAAATGCAAGTCAATTATTAAATATTTACTAATAATTTTTTTTTCCCGGTTATAGTAATATATTCTGAGCAATTGTGTTGGCTGCAGGAATGTCAAACAACAACTGTCAATTAAAAGCTAACTTTAAGCTCAAAAGCATATAATCTCAAATGATTGGATTTCCATTTAATTGCAAATACACTAAAGAATGTACAAAGTGAGTCACTGTGATGTCATAACTTTTCCAAATGCTGATGGCACTATTTGCATGATAATTTTGAAAGATTTACAGAGAATTCCTGAACCCTTTTACTACTCTATAGAAGCCTCACTATAGATTAAAGACAAAGTGGCTTGGCCGTAGTAGGTTTTTGTGAGTAAAACAACGTTGAAATTTGAATACTAGTTGAATACTGATTTTATCAATCTCCTGGCAATAATTTATATTAAAATTCTACATAAACTGAAATTGCTCTAACTCTGGATTCTCACGTCAAGTTCCAATCCAAGGCAAAATTGCTATAACATTAAAAATGTCAGTTTTGTACGCTGTCAGGTATGTTCCACTTCTAGTTCTGAATTTATTATGTTGAAAAAAATCCGAAATTTATAAGATTTGTAATATGTTGACTGAACAAACTTCAAATAACCATTTTCTTGGAAAAATTGTCAGCCATTTTTAACAAGCAGCAAAATTCTTCAAGTACATTTACAACTATCACAAAAACTAGAATTTATTGTGGCGCCTTGATTACAATGACACACAAATTATAGTGACATCTTTTGTACATCCTTCAGTCTTGCAGTAAAGGCTAAGTGTAAAGATTTCAGGCAAACAATAATAATGACAGTTTTGATGTATCGCATAGTTAATCTTAATAACAATAACTAAGGACCGGTTTATCAGCAGACGGTTATGTAGTTTAGCTGTTGGTCAACTAATAATTATTATTGGTTAACCAACAGGTAAACTAGATAGCCATCCACTGATAAACCAGTCCTAAGGCATGTAATAAACTTCATAATTTCTCTAAGTAACAACATAAGAAATAGTCACTATTTATCCCATTTGCAGCCTAGTTTCAGGTACCATAAGCTTTGTTCCAACCCAACAGGAAACCGTAATATTAGAAACCGAAATTCTTATACAGAAGGGATGGTTTTTTGAAAGGGTGGAACAAACCTATAAAATATCAATTTTCTCTTTTAGGCAGCAAAACTGTCTAGATACTATCAATGCCCAAAATGTCAATTACTCCACCATTGCCTACAGATACCATTATAATTATTTAAGGAGAATCAAAATTGTCTTTACACTAAATGCTGAATAACATCCATCAAATATATCGTCAAGGAAATAATATCGAAACTCATATTCCTGTTGTGCAAAATTAATTTTGCAATTGGAAAATTTTAAAATTATTCTACGTACCTTTTTACCTAGATTATTATTTTATTTTTATATATTATATATATATTTATTTATTTAACTTGTGTTAATCGTTTTTTTTTTTTTTTTAATTTGTCCACTAACAACCCATATTGTGTTAAAGATTTAAACAAAAATAAACCTAAATAGTAAAGTGTTATTATATTTTATTAGAATAGAAAAAGGAAACAAACCAATATTCAGAATAATCGACATGTTTAGAAAGTGAATTTGTTTTTTGAAATATAATTATTACTGATAAGACAATATTATGGTATTTGTGATAAGTGACTGAACCATTAGAATTTTATACTTTGACCATTTAATACTAAATAATTATGTATTGAAAGTAGTCACTTTTACAAATACGGATTTTCTGTAACTTTTTGTTTTTCACTCGTCTATTTGTGACGCAAAGAAGTTTTCTAATGTTGTAGGCTAAAGGAACTGAGAACGGATTAGCATAAATCTTATTTTGTTATTTTTTTTTCTTCTAAATTCAGAACTTGCTGAAGGTAATCTTGAAAAGTCAGCTAATGTGGCTCAAATTTGAAGGACACATTTTAATGTTTTTTCCCTAATTTATTTTCGGAGACCTGGAAAAATGCTAAAAATTTATATTTTTCTGCGATTGACAAGAAATGTCAGTATCTACCTTTGACCAATTGACGGATCGCAAAACTCAATTCGGATATTTTAATGGGGTAGTATACTATGTATAAAAGTCAGTAAAAAAAACTGCTCGACATCATTCTATAGGCTAAATGGTGATGGTATAGTGGGATCCTGAATTATTTTCTAGCATACTGTCTATAGAGTTAGTCAGAAAAAAACAAACTGTAATTTGAATTTAGCGCCACAGTGGCGACCAATAGTATTCAAGCCGCTGACCATCTGGCAACGCTGCTCAAAATGACAGCTGTCTTCAACAGTTCAACCACGTGTGGTGTCATGTAAATCGTGTGACATGTGACATTGTCACAGTAAAGCCTAGTACTCATCACCTCAACAGCGAAATTAGCTTTTTTTTGACATTGCTTCGACAATTTGATGTTTTATGCGTGAATCGAACGTCAAATTCTCGAAGCAATGTCAAAAAAGAGCGAATTACGCGATTATGAGTACTAGGCTTTACTTTTCTATGTTGTTTGATGTAGTAAATTTGACGTTTTGTCCTTGACGATCAAAGTCAATGCAAATTGTGCGTTCTCAAAACCGCGATGTGTTGCTAGATTGGAAAAAACTAACTACGTCACGAACTTTTATTTTCACGTAGGGGCGGGGCTAAGAGGAAATTTAAAAAAAATAATTCCAGTGTATTGCGGTTTTTACAAAGTAACTGATTACACTAAATAGTACGATACGTCGAGTATATCACTAGGTAGTGATTAAAAATCACTTGTATACTACCCCATTATGTTTCAATAGTTGTTAAGAAATCAATGAATAATAATACGGGTATGAGAACCACTTTCCCGGCCTAGGCCGGAAAAGTGGTTCTCATACTGCTGAACAATTGCAACAAAAGGACAAACATTTAACAGATATTTAACCAATGTTTGCCGACCTCGACTGCGCCTCGCTAGTCAACTTACACTGTCGGCTGAAAATGTGTCACTTTTCCACCCAAAATCCACAATATACTATTGATCTTGTGAAGAGATCCAAAAAAGAACAATCTATGTAGGTAACATATTGTAACGAATAACTACTTGGCCAGAATTCTGGGAACCCAGTAGTTTCAAAGTGCGTCTATTCTGAGAATGGACTGTCATAAGACTCCAAAGTTTCGTTTTAGATTTTCATAAACTATCATTTGACACCAATTAAGAATTTAATCAGAGATTAAATTCAATTGACCTTTTGTTTGGACGCCATATTGCGGTGCGCGAACATAGTTGCCAACAGTAGAAAAAAAAATTATTAGCGTTCTGTCAACTTTAAAATCTAAAGTTAATGAATAAATTACATTTAAAATTTAAATTTACCGCCTATTACGAATGTTTTTGGAAAGAAAAACCATCAATTTTAACTTGTATTCAGCAGAATATAAATAATAAAATATCTAGTTGACAGCCCGCTAGTAATTTTTGGTTTTCTTGTTTTGGCAACTATGTTCGCGCACCGCAATATGGCGTCAAAACAAAAGGTCAATTGAAATCTTGATTTAGGTTTTACAGCCTGTCAAAGTTGCAAAAAAGTCAGTTTTCAACAGTGTTGCCAGAGGTGGTACAATTGTACCAGGTTTGGTACCATCCATTTTGAAAAAGTACGCTGGTGCGACGTTGGCATATTTGGTACAATTTCCATTTTTTTTTAAAATTTTTCCAAATTTTCAAAGAGTCTTATGCATATATTTATTATACTACGTATATCGCGGGTTGGTTTGAGTTCTTGAAGCAAACATTATGAGATAGAATGATGCTTTCTTTGTCTCAAGTGAACTCGTTTTTCCAATGCGCATGCGTCAATTTGAAGTTATTCCTCCAATAAGATTTCATTTTAAACAGCTGATATTGCAGGGTTGCCAATAACGTTATTTTCATCTTCGAGTTATTTCAACATTCACAAGAAACATGACGAATTTTGTAGTTTGGTGCGTGTAACACATATTCGATTTCGACAAATAAACCAATATATTCATTTTTATTAGTGTTTTGGAATCCAAATACAATCGACCAAATTATAACCTCAAAAAATGATCCTAATTTATTGTGCTTTTTAGCTTGACATGACAACACGGCACGAAAAGCTTGATGCAAAATGGCAACCGCCGGCCAATAAGAATCTAGAGTTTAACGCAAGCGCAGTTCATAACCTCGGTCTCCTTCGTTAGACAAAGATAGACTTATGCGAGATCATATAACTTTATCTCTCTTTGTTTGCTTCAAAAACCGCACATTGGGTAAATGGGGAAGGCGCGATATACGTTAGTATAATAGGTATATGGTCTTATGGCTGTTTCCACCCACTATTTAAGGGGAGCCTTATTGGTAAGTATTCCCTAAAATGACATTTTTAGATGGAGAAATGTCAGTTTAAGGAATACTTATCAGCTGGGTTCGGCTATTCAGCACGGAGTTGGAGTGGAGTGAGCAGAGCTAATGGAGTCACCCCTAATACGGTAAAAAGCAATACCCGAACCTTAACCCGAACGCCTGGAGTGCGAATGGAGTCACTCGGAGTGAGCAAGCCGAACCGACCTATCGCTAAGGCTCCCCTAAAATAATTGGTGGAAACGGCCATTAGCCTACTGCCTACTTAATCTAATGTC